CTGCCCTTGCCTTTTTTTCCTGCTTTCCCTATTCTGTGTTTTATCCCTTTTTCTCCCACCTTTTCCATCTCTCTTCCATTTCCTCGGCCCTCTCTTCGCTCTCTCTTTCTTCTCCTCTTTCTCTTCTCATCTCTTTCTGCTTTTCCCCCTTCCTATTTCCTATCTTCTTCCCTTCTCACTCTCTTCACTTCTTCTCTCTTTCTCTCATCCTCTCTTCTTCTCCCTCTTCTTCGCCCCTCCTCCCCCCCTCCCCTCTCCTCTCTTTTCCCATCTCCCTTTCCCCTTTTCTTTCCCCTCTTCCTCTTTTTCTCTTCCTCCCTTCCCTTCTCCTCCTCTTCTCTTCCTCCTCCTCTCTCTCCCTCTCTTCTCCTCCTCCTTCTCCTCCCTTCCCCTATCGTCCTCCTCTTCCCTCCTACCCCCTCCTCGTCCTCCTCCTCCTCCTCCTCCTCCTCTTCCTCTCCCTATTCCTCTTCTTCCTCTTCCTCCTCCTCCTCCTTCTCCTCCTCCTCCTCCTCCTCCTCCTCCTTCCTTCCCCTATCCTCCCTCCCTCCTTCCCTCCCTCCCTCTCTACCTCCCTCTCCCCCTCCCTCCCTCTCTCCCTCCTTCCCTCCTTCCCTCCCTCCCTTCCTCCCTCCCTCCCTCCCTCCACCTCTCCCTCCCTCCACCTCTCCCTCCCTCCCTCTCTCCCTCCCTCCCTCTCCCCTTCCCTCTCTCCCTCTCTCCCTCCCTCCTTCCCTCCCTCCCTCTTTCCCTCCCTCCCTCACTCTCTCCCTCCCTCCTTCTCCTCCTCCCTCCCTCTCTCCCTCCCTCACTCCCTCCCTCTCTCCTTCCCTCCCTCCAACCCTCCTCCCCTCCCTCCCTCCCTCCCTCATTCCCTCCCTCCCTCCCTCCCTCCCTCCCTCCCTCCCTCCCTCCCTCCCTCCCTCTCCCCTTCCCTCTCTCCCTCTCTCCCTCCCTCCTTCCCTCCCTCCCTCTTTCCCTCCCTCCCTCACTCTCTCCCTCCCTCACTCTCCTCCTCCCTCCCTCCCTCCCTCCCTCCCTCCTTCCCTCTTCCCCCCCCATCCTCCTCCCTCCCTCTCTCCCTCCTTCCCTCTCTCCCTCCCTCCCTCCCTCCCTCCCTCCCTCCCTCCTTCCCTCCCTCCCTCCCTTCCTCCCTCCCTCTCTCCCTCCCTCCCTCCCTCCCTCCCTCCCTCCTTCCCTCTTCCTCATCCTCCTCCTCCCTCTCTCCCTCCCTCCCTCCACCTCTCCCTCCCTCCCTCCCTCCCTCCACCTCTCCCTCCCTCCCTCTCTCTTTCCCTCTCTCTTTCCCTCTCTCCCTCTCTCCCTCCCTCCCTCCCTCCTTCCCTCCCTTCAGATAATTTTTTTAACAATCTTTAAGATCTAACTCCCTTGATGTCACAAAATAAACTTTTTTAGAGGGTCAAATTCTCTTTTTTATTCGGGGCTGAATTAGCGAAGAGAAAAGAGGAAAATATTCGTCGATTTGATAAATATAGAGAGATTAAGAATTGATAAAAGAGAGGGAGAGGAAGAGCAAGGAGAAAAGTTGGATTTTTTTTTTTTTTTTTTTTTTTTTTTTTTTATAGTAGAAAAGATAAGAAAATATTTATATTCACAGGTTTGTTGAACATTTAATTTTCGTAAGACGGAGGAGGAGGTTGACTAAAGAGAGAAAAGTTGCAATAAAAAAAAAGGGGGGGGGGAGAGATCAATGAAAGGAGGAAGGAAATAAATTATTTAAAAAGAACGAAAATAAAGACAAAGACAAGCTAAAGAAAATTAGCATGAAAGACACTAAAGAAGAAAAGTTCAAAAGTTCTTATCTTTCTCTCTCTCTTTTTCCCCGTTCTGTTCTTGTCTTTCGTTTCTTTTTCTTTTTCTCCTTACATTATTTTTCCTTCATCTTCCCTCCTCCCTCTAATATTTTCTTTCTTCTTCTCCTTCTCCTCTAATCTTTTTCATTTTTATTCCTCCCTATTTTTTTTCTTTTCTCTTCCCCTTTTCTTCTATTTTTTTCTTTCTCTTCTCCTTTTCATCTATTTTTTCTCTTCTCTTCCACCTTCCCTATAATCTTTTCCTTTCTCTTCCATCTTCCTTCATCCCCCCCCCCTTCCCTTCCTCCTTTCTCTCTCTCCCCTCTCTTTTTTATCTTTCCTTTCTCCTTTTCTCCTTTCTAGCTCCTTCCTCCATTCTCACCCCTTCTGCTCTCAACTCTTCCTTTCTTCTCTCTCTCTTCCAATTTTCCTCTCCCTCCCCCTCTCCCTTTCCAATCTTCCTCTTCCTCCCTCTCCCTTCAAGTCTTTACATTCCTCTCTCCCTCTCTCTCTTCTCCTCCGGTCATTTCCTTTCCTCTCTTCCCCTTTCTCTTCTCCAGCCTTTTCCCATCCTCCCTTTCCCTCTCTCTCCTCCTCCCGTCTTTCCATTTTCTTTCCCTGTCTCTTCCCTCCAATCCTCCCCTTCCTCTCCTCCCCCAATATCTCTCTTCCTCCCTCCCTCTGCCCCTCTCTCACTCCCCTTCAATCTTCCCACCTCCCTCCCCCTCCCCTCCTCCCTTTCCCCCCTCCCTACTTCTCCCCCTCCAGCCAGTCTCCCCTCCCCCACCGCCCTTCTCTCTCTCTTTCCTCCCTTCTCCAATCTTTACTTCATCTCCTCCTCCTCCTCCTCTTCCCCCTCTCTCTCTCTCTCTTTCCTCCCTTCTCCAATCTTTCCTTCCTCTCCTCCTCCTCCTCCCCCTCCTATTTCCTCCTCCTCCCTTCTCCAATCTTTCTTTCCTTCCTCTCCTCCTCCTCCTCCTCCTCCTCCTACTCCTCCTCCTCCCCCTCCTCCTCTTTCCTCCACCACCTCCCTTCTCCAATCTTTCCTTCCTCTCCTCTGTCTCCTCCTCCTCCTCTTTCCTCCTTCTCCAATCCTTCCTCCTCCTCCCTCACCTCCTCCTCCTGTTCCTCCTCCCTTCTCCAATCTTTCCTTCCTCCTCCTCCTCCTCCTCCTCCTCCCCCACCTCCTCCTCCTCTTCTCTTCTCCAATCTTTCCTTCCTCCTCCTCCTCCTCCTCCTCCTCCTCATCCCCCTCCTCCTCTCTCCTCCTCCCTTCCCCTTCTCCAATCTTTCCTTCCTCTCCCTCCTCTTCCTCCTCCTCCTCCTCCCCCTCCTCCTCCTCCCTTCCCCTTCTCCAATCTTTCCTTCCTCTCCCTCCTCCTCCTCCTCCTCCTCCTCCCCCTCCCCCTCCTCCTCCTCCCTTTCCCTTCTCCAATCTTTCCTTCCTCTCCTCCTCCTCCTCCTCCTCCTCCTCCTCCTCCTCCTCCTCCGTCCCTCCCTTCTCCAATCCTCCCTTCCTCTCCTCCTCCTCCCCTCCTCCTCCTCCTCCTCCTCCTCCCTTCCCCTTTTCCATCTTTCCTTCCTCCTCCTCCTCCTCCTCCCCCTCCTCCTCCTCCCTTCCCCTTTTCCAATCTTTCCTTCCTCTTCCTCCCTTCTCCAATCCTCCCTTCCTCTTCCTCCTCTCCCCTCCTCCTCCTCCGCCTCCTCCTCCTCCTCCTCCTCCTCCTCCTCCTCTTCCTCCTCCTCCTCCTCCCTCCTCCTCCTCCTCCTTCCTCCTCCTCATCCTCCTCCTCCTCCTCCTCCTCCTCCTCCTTCCCCTTCTCCATCTTCCTTCCATCCTCCTCCTCCCTTCTCCAATCTTTCCTTCCTCCTCCTCCTCCTCCTCCTCCTCCGCCTCCTCCTCCTTCCCTCCCTTCTCCATCTTTCCTTCCTCTTCCTCCTCCTCCTTAATCCGCACTTTCCTTTCAGAGAGATCCATCAAGACTGCCAAGAGAATATATCAGCTCTCGGAGGTCCTTATTCGTGACTTAACAGAAGCGATCGATAAGGTTCGTATTAACGGGGAGACAGCGACGTGAATTGATGTGAAGATGATGAGTATGTGTGGTGGGTTTGTACTCGTACGTATGAATGTGACGTACGTGTGACGTAGATGAGATAGGAGTGTGTGTGTGTGTGTGTGTGTGTGTGTGTGTGTGTGTGTACGTTTGTGTGTGTGGTGTGGGTGTGTGTGTGTGTGTGTGTGGTGTGTGTGTGTGTGTGTGTGTGTGTGTGTGAGTGAGTGTGTGCGTGTGTGTGTTTCTGTGTGTGTGCGTGTATATATGTGTGAGACAGTTATATCTCGTATTGATACATACGAATATGTTTTATTTATAGATGTGGAACATGACGCATGACGTATTTATAGCTATGAATATAACGTTTTTATTTGAAGCAGAACGGCCTTAAAGCGCCATTGCTCTGTTAAGAATATATATTGCTGTCAAAAAATATGTTTATTTATTTATTTATTTGTACGTTCGTTTGTTTGTTTGTTTTTTGTTTGTTTTCTTATGTCTGAGTATTAGTCGGTCTATCAATTTTAGTTTCTGTTTCTCTCTCCCTTTCTCTCTTCTCCTCCGGCCTTTTCCTTTCCTCTCTTCCCCTTTCTCTTTTCCAGTCTTTTCCCTTCCTCCCTTTCCCTCTCTCTCCTCCTCCCGTCTTTCCATTTTCTTTCCCTGTCTCTTCCCTCCAATCCTCCCCTTCCTCTCCTCCCCCAATATCTCTCTTCCTCCCTCCCTCTGCCCCTCTCTCTCTCCCCTTCAATCTTCCCACCTCCCTCCCCCTCCCCTCCTCCCTTTCCCCCCTCCCTACTTCTCCCCCTCCAACCAGTCTCCCGTCCCCTACCCCCCTCTCCCTCTCTCTTTCCTCCCTTCTCCAATCTTTACTTCAACTCCTCCTCCTCCTCCTCTTCCCCCTCTCTCTCTCTCTTTCCTCCCTTCTCCAATCTTTCCTTCCTCTCCTCCTCCTCCTCTCCCTCCTATTTCCTCCTCCTCCCTTCTCCAATCTTTCCTTCCTCTCCTCCTCCTCCTCCTCCTCCTCCTCCTCCTCCTCCTCTTCCCCCTCTCTCTCTCTCTCTTTCCTCCCTTCTCCAATCTTTCCTTCTTCTCCTCCTCCTCCTCCCCCTCCTTTTTCCTCCTCCTCCCT